CCCCCCCAAAAAAAAAAAACAAAACCCAAACAAAAAACCAACAAAACACCCTCTTGACAAATTGGAAAAAAGATCTTGGGGGGAGAAAAAGATGCAGCAGAGTAAGGACAACTACAAAGTTATGTAGCAAGGCTGAAACAGTGTAAATACACCCTGGAAATGACATGCCTGGTAATAGTTTTGTAGAAAAGGACATGGGGATATTGAGCATTACAAGGCAAATGTGGGTCATCTGTGTCGTGGTGTTGCAAAAGGGGCAAGGTCCTGGAATGTATAAAAAGGAGCGTCAGCCACGAGATACGCGACGCGACCTGGATGCTTTACTTGGCACAGGTGAGGCCTCAGCTAAAGCACTGCACCTGGTTTTAGACACTGCATTTCAAAAAAGATGTGCATCAACTGGAGAGAATTCAGAGAAGACGCCACAATAACTGGAGGTATAAAACATGACTTAGGAGAAAAGACTGATGGACTGATGGAATTTGTGATTGTGTGATTAAAAAGATGGAAGATTAAAGGGATAAACCAGGAAGCTTTCAAATATAAAGAACAGTATAACCCATTCTGCATGTGTAACGAGAGTCAGAAATCTTGAGCTAAAACTGGTAGTTTAAGTTTTATATTGGGGGGAAGAAACCCTGTAACGCTACAGATAATTACGTGGTGAAATATATAGCTGAGGAAGTCCCGAGATCTCCCTGATGGGAGGTTAAGAACAGGTCAAATGCTGACCTGGCAGGGGTGATACAACAAGTAGTTGTTTTGCCTGATGGAGGCGGAATGGTTATAGGACCTGCTGAAGTCCCTTCTGCTCTTCCTTCTCCCGCCTCATGATTTCCCACAAAACGAAGTGCCTAAGGACTGGTTTAGTTTCTTTTGGTTTCTGCACTGGTGCATCAGCCGTTTTTGTTGCGTTCGTGTACAAGCGCTAGGTGGTCTGACCGCCAGTGAATCCATCGCTGGACTGACTTCCAAATTAGGGACTTGCAGTACATGTTTGCAAACGCACACGTGGGTTTATACCTTGGACTTGGAGTTGAATTTTGCCTGTTTTAGTCACCATTTGTTTAGTAATTTGCATTTTCTTCATTGTAGCATAGCCGCAGCTCTGAGAGTCTTTAGATTTCTGTCCCCAGATACCTAAGCTTCTGCTTTGCCCCACTGCATTTGCCTTTCTGCAGTTCTTTACTGTTTTGCCAAACTGGAGGATTAAATTATATTGAACACACTAACCCTGTGTCGATATCGAGGTGCTTTGGAAAAACTAATGAATTGAGCTTCTCGGAATTCTGGAAAGTTTGATAGGCAATACTGTATTAGTTTTTCACACTGAGAAACTGAAGCATAGACATGTCTTGCTGTACCCTGCCCTATTTTGGGCAGAAGGGGGTAGGAAAGGGGAGAACTGGGGAGAGCCTTGAAAAGGCAGGAGGAAAGCTGAACATAAGTCTTATTGGACAGTTTAGACATCAGGGTTTGCAAATGGAGATAAAAGTGATTTATTTCCCGTTCTTATTTTATAGTACAGATTTTAATATTAATACAGTATGTAATGGAATATAGTAGGCTTTAATCCAGACAATAATTCACTCACATAATATCACCTTCCTTCCACTTCTCATCAACTCTTTGATAGGCTGGATGCTGAAAGTGTGGTGGTATGATCTCCCATATTTTAATAAATACGCTTGGGCCTGTTTAGAAAAACTTTGTCCCAGAGTAACAAGGGGCTTTTGGAGACCTTTTCCGGCACTAAACGATTGCCTTATTCCCAAGGCAGGGTCAGATGTACCTATGCCATTCCTGACAGGTGTTTGTGTAAATGCTGTGTAACAACCTCTAATTTTGGCTCTTTACTTTCTGTTCTGCCCACTATGGAGAACAGATAACTGCCTTCTTACAGAAGCTTTCCCTTCTGCTTAATCTGTCCTTTTCCGAATATGATCTCTGAAGGACTGTTTCCGTTTATGTCTTTTAGGTTTTCCTGTGTACAGCAGCTCTTCCTCCTCTACTACCTCCTTGGAAGGCAAGCAGAATTACTGCAAGAAGCGGAGCTCAACCAGCAGCAATAAAAAAGCAGTGACTAGAGTGTCTTCTGCCTCATCGAAAATTAGTGCTGGTATGGTCTGGTTTATTGAGGTGTGTTTTCGCAGGTGGAAGTTTACTGCTGTATTGAATACTTAGGTAGAACTGCTTGTGCTGTTTCAGAATGTGAGATAGTTCAAGACAGACACTTGGGAAGTAGTTTAACCATAAACTTAAGTTTGGCAACTTTTTAGAACATCTTCAAGAGGAAAACTGTTCTTGTAGTTGGTCACTGTGCCTTTCAACTGCAGAGAAAAGACTGTAGTCTGCAGTTTTCATGCTGAAGCAAAGCAATTCTTTGTCTAAGCAGAATTTGCAGCGTGTTGCCATGTGTTAAAGGTACGCTGTGCTAAAGATAGATACTCTATTTACCAGTCAGTTGGCTCACTATTTAAGATTTTCTTAAATTTTAAAGATATAATGTCACTAATTTCGGATCTTGTTCTTCTGTTGAACAGGGTTATATAGTTCTCCGGCTACAAGGAAAAATCCTTTTGATGAAGGAGAAATTCAGGTTGGAGACAGAGTGCTGGTGGTAGGACAGAGAACAGGCACTGTTAGATTTTGTGGGACGACAAAATTTGCACCAGGTATTTGCAGCGCTCCCTGTGCGTGTTGTAGAACCCTTATGGGATAACTTACACATGAGCACGTGAACATTAAGAGAACTCCTATCTTTTTCCTCACTCCCTCCACAATTTTCTAAATTTACTGGTTTGTTTCAAAGTTCTTTCTCTCTCCTGTGCTTCATTGAATATTTTTTTTACTTTAATGCAACTACTAGGAAAAAATAATCGTTTAAAATGTGACTTTTACTTGTCCACTAACACTGCTTAATTTAGGAGAAATATTTTGATCTTGAAATTGTAGGTATTGTTACAAAGCTTTCTGAAAATCCTCAGTTTAGTCTCCAGCATGGTGCAGTTTATTGAGGTCACGTGCCTTTACTCCTTACTTTTTGTAGGAAGCCTTTTTGACACAGCTCATCTCTTGCAATACCGGTACTCTTATGTCATTTCCCTGTCTCATTCTCATCTTCTTGGCATCTTTAAGAGGGTAATTGTGAACACTTAAATGTTCACAAACAAACCTTTAGGTCACAGGACAGATGAAAAGTTATGAGCACCTCAAACTCTACCACCATTTTCTCCTCCATCTCCCTTTCAGCTCCCCCCTCTCTTCCCCTTGCTAAAAGACACATTGCAGTGAAGCCAGGTGTTTTCAAACAGAAGCGAGTTGTTGTAAATTATGGAAACTGATTTCTGAATACTACCTTTTTGTAACCAAATTCTGTGTTCTTTATGTCCTTATCTATAATCTTCTTATTGCAAGAGTAATGCAAAAACAGTTGGTAAGTTTAAACGAGGTCCGTTTGGTTGATATGTAAGCGGCAATACTCTGCCTTGACACTTGGTGGCATCAGTATTAAAAAAAAAAAAAACCAACCAAAAAATGTTAGAATGACAGAATGTGAGACTGTGGTACCAGCTCCGTACTTTTTTCATTCTCGCCCCTTTCCCCAGTTTCATTGTAGGCCGTCCTTGCTTAAGATATCGCAAATAACTGATTCTACACTTCCATGTGATCACTCTTACCTTCGTGTTGTTACTTACAAAGTAAACAATGAGAAAAGGACTGGTTTTCCAAAGTTCCTATAACAAGTGTAAAATCAGAAAGCTGTGTGACAGTGTAAGTCTCTTCCCTCTCCCTCCACGTTAGGGAATGAAATTTTTTGGAGAAAAACATGGTATTGTAAGAAGTGAGGATGGAAAGGTCACACATCTTCACCATTTGCAGAACCAGGAATTTATAGAAAATGTAAAACAGATGCATTTTTTTAAGCATCTCAATTCTAATATGTATCAAAGCTCTGGAAGTTATCCAAACTTTATTTCTTTTGCTGCAATGCAGATCTTTATTTAATTCTAAAAACAGGAAGGGGAGAACTTCTGAGATACCGAGCCCTTCTAATTCATAAGCTGTCATTCCTGCGGTTCTTGAGCTGATAATTAGAATTACCATTTTATCCAGTGCCTTAGTACCAAGTGACTTGAATTAAATTTTGAATCTTCTGGGGATGGATAGCATAAGGACTGCTAATGGAGTATGAAATTTAGCACCTTTACATAATTAGCTCACATTTATCACAGGTTATGAATGATCAAGCTTATTAACATCTTGATGCCTATTCAGTGTTCTGTACGAGATGAATCGCCGGCCGGTTCGGATTCTAACACCCTTCTCTCAATATCATACAACCGGCCTTGCAATTTGTATTAATTATAACTCGCTAGATGGAGAGAAGGAATGAAGTAATAGCAAAACTTTAATTTTACTGTTGATGATCTCAGATGAGGCATAAACCATGTGGTCAGAGGACTAAAGAGGGAAACTTGAACCACTGCTGCTCTTCTTGCCTGTCTCCTTTTTATCAAATAGCTACTGTTATTTATAGTCGGTAACGTTCTGTTCGGCTTTAGTGTATGTATCAAGGGTTTTACCTTTTCTCTATTAATTAAAATGCCAATAATTTTCTCGAAAGCATATGAAAATGCTGAGGTAATTCTCTTTAGATTTATCATAAATTTTTGCATAGTTACATAGATTAATAATAAATATATATTATAAAATACCTCTACAGTTTCTAAGTAGAACCTCTTTTCCTTGATATGGGTGAATGCCAACTGTAGCAACTGTCTAGATGAAGAAAAGCCTGTGGTGTTTTGTTCAAAATACCATGATTTTACTGTTTTGAAATGCAGGATTCTGGTGTGGAATTGAATTGGACAAGCCTCACGGGAAGAATGATGGTTCCGTGGGAGGCGTTCAGTACTTCAGTTGTCTCCCCAGATACGGTATATTTGCACCACCATCTCGTGTACAGAGGTAAGCACTGAAGCTGTTGTAACGTTTGTGTTGCCAAATGCTTTCTGAATGCATTTCCAGTGGGAAACAAAGTTTTGCAGCAGCTACAGAAGAAATACATGTTTTCTTCTGCTAATGGAAGTTTATAACCTCCATTAAAAACCTGGTGGGTTTTAGATCAGCTTTTTGAAAGCAGAGTATAAATTGGAAATGCAGCTCTCCCTGTTTCTCTTGCAGCCACGTCAAGTATTTTCATTCCAGGGCCTCCATTTCTGATAGTCTGTGTTCATTAAACCTTACTTTCGTGACCCAATCCTGATGTGCTGAGCTAAATTTGGTTATAAAAGGAAGGTGCCCTTGGATATGACTGAAAATACTGTTCTCATTCCAGCTAACAGCACAGAGGAACCAGAGCACCCACCACTTTGTAGTCTCTCCATTAGGTTTCAGGAAGAACAGCTGAGGAATACTGTGCTCGTTCCTCCTGCATTTGTGTCTAGTTACTTTGCTGGACATGTTCTTGCTTTTCTTTCCCTGAAGATCCTAGCTCAGCCAAACGGTTAAAGAACTTGCCTCAAAATTAGACATGCTCTATTGCTGTGTAAAAGGCAAGTAACTTGAATAAACTAGTTTGGCTATTCTTACATACCAGCCTGATTACAGCTGCAATGTTCGTGTCTTTTGGGGGTGGCTGGAGAAGGGAAACAATCAGAACTCTCTCAACGTTTGACAAGCAGGACGGCAGCAGTAGGTTTGTTCAGAGTTGAGTTGAAATGACTTCTTCATTGTGTTATTGCTTTTCAGACTAACAGGTTCTCTGGATTCTCTCACAGAGACTTCGAGTAAAATAAATCACGCTTTTCCAGGTAGGTGCGTAAGACACTCTCATTTGGCTTAGGCAGCCGACCGCAGGCTACCGTTCTACAAGCAGAACCTACTGCACAAAGCCCGCTTCTCCGAGAGCAGAGCAGATGTTCAGGGGACCCAAATGCCAGCCAACAGCCTGGCTGCTCCCTTCCTACAAATGTAGCCTGCAGCAGGAGCTGTGGAGGACTCGGTTGTTATTAACCCTACACGGGCAGAGATAATTATCCCGTATTACCGTATTGCATGCTAGTCAGAGCTAACCATAAATTGAACCTGCTCCTCAATCTAAATTGACATTGATGAAGGGATCAGTGTAGGAAGGGGTCCATATGAAATTACTAAAAATTAAAATTCGGTGAGATACTTGAAGCAGTTATTTTTCTTTCTCCTTACCTAAGCTTTTTGTGAAAAGGCTGCTTCAAATTACCCTTGTTTGGTTTGTTTAATTTCATTTCTGTCCTCTCTGAAAATTGGAATGCGTTATGGACACTTACTTTCATGAGAAGTTTCATCACTTAATTTCCAAATTGGAGGGGAGAATGTGTAGCAAATGTAGTGGAAACAGTGTAAAAGAAAACAAAGAATATGAGGTCATAAAGGGCTCTTTTTTTTTTTTTTAAGAAGTCCTACACAGCTTATGAACCTTTCCACTTAGGTTTTAGACGCAGTCTAAGCACCACTTCCGCATCTTCACAAAAGGAGATAAACAGAAGAAACTCCTTCGTTAGGTGAGCGTCTTGAGTTTAAAATGTTTGGCTGTTAGCTTTACTGTTTCTTGTTCAAAAGAAAAGCTTTATGCATGTATCATATCTAGACCTTTACATGTTCATTTTTTTTTTTCTTTGAAAATGGACCAGAAGTAGACTATTTTTCTGTGGGTACCCAGGAGTACAGTCCTTGGATTCAGGTTGGCATTAAAATTGTTTTCCAGTTGTTCATCACTGCATATTCTCCAAATTCTTGTATTTTCGGACAGCTGGGCGGAGTTCAGAGGGTCTTGTTAAAGGACTTCAGTTTGTCCTGGTGATCCCGACTGACCCTTGCATGTTAAAAGCTGTTTTGCCTAAACTCTGTCAAGCCCCACATAAAATGCTTTGTACCGCTTTGTTTACCAGTACTCTCACCTACGGCAAATATTGTAGATCCTAGCATCAGGTGAAAGGAAATTGATTCTCCAGGTATTTCACGCTGCCGTGTGTCCTAGCCTGTTAATGTTATTACCTGTTTTGCTATGATGTGAGATCAAAACCAATTTTTTTTTTAAAGGGAGTTGAGGTTTTTTTCCACGCACTTCACTGAATTACAGATTTGCCCTGAGTCATTTGCAGAAACAAGACTTCACCCGACCACCTCAGCCCCTCTCTGTCACAT